TAATTTTCATTGCTTGTTTAAAGATACAAGAGAATTCATTCAAACATACAAGTAAACTTAAATAAATTTCTTTTCAAAGGGACAGAATCAATTCACTATACCTTGTTGACGAGTCAGAAACAGAATAAAACAAGCGTTTTGCATAGCATCATCAATCCCTAAATGGCAACAGTGTTTTCAGTGTGATATAAATCGTAACATTCTTCAAGCAATGTTGCCACTTCTAGCAACAGAGTGTTGTACTTTCTTTCCACTAGCTTCGAGAATAATGTATAAACTATGACAAAGGATAAGCTTTTTTATTGTTCAAATCATAAGAAACTTGGTTTTAGTTTATTTTAGTCATAGCCCGTCTTTTTCGTAAATAAAATATTTTACCGAAATGACCATCAAATCGATAGGAAGAGGATAACTAGTGAGAGCTATGGGGTAACATTGAATAGACGAAACATTGATGAGAGAATCACTAACCGTCGCCATCTTGTTATTTTAGTTTGTTCATATATTTTAAGATGATTCTTTAATAAATAATTAGATAATTATATGAGATAAAGAGATGAATTTGTTCGTTATCGTTGAAAAATTTAGTGGCCCTGAAAAGGGCCGTTTTAACGGTTTTTTTAAAATGAGATGATGACCAAACACTGCTGATTTTATGCACTTCTGACAAATTAACCTCCAAAACCATAAAGAGTACGTCCTTGGCGTTTCAATGCATACACGACATCCATAGCCGTGACAGTCTTTCTTTTAGCATGTTCAGTATAAGTTACTGCATCACGAATAACGTTTTCTAGGAAGACTTTCAATACACCTCGAGTTTCTTCGTAAATCAATCCAGAGATACGTTTTACACCACCACGACGAGCCAAACGACGAATCGCAGGCTTAGTAATACCTTGGATATTATCACGAAGAACCTTCCTGTGACGCTTAGCACCTCCCTTTCCCAATCCCTTTCCACCCTTTCCACGTCCAGTCATTTTGTTTAATTAAAATCACTCGAAATAAACTCCTGTAAACAAAACAAAATAATTTAAATTTATATACCAGTTTAACATTTATCAATTAATCCTTATTTTAGTCTACCGGAAAGTTCTGTTCATATTTATAATAAAATAAGAAAAATATATTTTTATAAATGAACCTTATTAAATAATAAAATTGCCATTAATATTTATGACTTCATACAGTCATGCTGAGCTTAAAGGCTCATAATATATATTGGTTCTTCAATGTACAATCATATACACATAAATCTTTTACTGAATCAGATTTTGTTTAGAGGTGGAAAGACTAAGTTTTACGGGTTAAAAACGATCTACATGTTTATGAAACATTCTACATTTTGTTGAAATTCGTATAAAATAAAACGGTGTAAAGGAAATTTATTATTATCTACGAATACACTTATGGTTCTAACCAAAGATTAACGTGAATCAGCGTTCATTTACTTAATCTGCTATGTTATTATGTATACATTAAGTGATAATAATAGACAGCTAAATATGCGCCAAATGAACATGAGCATACGTGTTGAAAATTGGGTTCATAGAAACGAACAGAACGTTCATATAAACAATATAATAAGTATAAATGTATACGACTATCCGAGTCTCCGAAATAGTGTAACACATATACTTACTGTGAATAACGAAGATGTTGCTCGTAGCGAAGCTGCAGTCGAAATGTGATGTTCGACGGCTGAGACGGCTGGTTTTGTGCGCTCGAGATTCCGATGCATCCCCACCACAACTCTTAGGACCAATGAGCGAGCGTTTGACGAATTTTCTATCCCAAGCGTAATAATAAAACGAAAAAGACTAATGATTAGAAGAATAACGTACGATATTATTGTAAGAACATAAAAGTAAATTATTTTTACATATTATATCTTAATATATCATTTTTTAGAAACTTGTTTTTTCCGTTGTATATAATACATTTTCTAAAATTTATAATAGAACTGTAAAACTTAAAATGTAACGTGATTCTTGGTTTTGTTCTAATTCGTCGAGATACAGATAACAAATTTAACATATCATTTAGAAATTAACAATTAAAGATCGCAGTAACATGATGATCATTTTATTACAAAATAAAAGTACAAAGGTTTGATACGATAAAAATACTGAAAGATGATCTGTTGTTGAAAGAAAGAAACGTTTTTGAGAATTTCGAGACGAGATCAGAAAGGGAAAAACGAATTGGAAAAAGCTAATATTAGATACAGTAGTTTGTTCTAGAAATTAGTTGTTTAGGTGTATGTAGATTAAATAATAATAGATGTAAAGAGCTTTAGACTAAGTAAGGGCCAAGATATGAGAG